GGACCTAATGAAGCTCAGGTTCTTGATGTCTCGTCACAGAAAGAATTCAGTGATGACAAAGTGATAGGTAAGAACCGGATTTATTCAGATTCAGAGAGAAGCACATTCCACAGACAGAGTGGGGGCCATTGCAGAGGGCCAGTGTGGCCCTGAAATGTGGCGTGGTTAGTTTCTATAGGCTTGATAATGTCATATGTTAATGAGTAGGAGGATTATTCCACCTCTTTTGGGGAAGGGGTGGAGACTTCCAGGATTTGGGCCGCCACTCACTCCTTGGTCTTTTGACAGCGCCTTGGAACCGTCATGGCACCTCTCGGTGTGTCATTTCACTTGCTGATGGAGGATCAAGGTCTAGTCTTGTCTGCAATCTTGGTCTCATTTGATTCTAATCGATTTATGTTGTGTCTTTGGGCTATGTCATTCTTTAAAAATTTGTGCCCTACCTGCCCTTTCCCTCCTGTTACAGTTGGATGGCATCACCGACTAGATGGACATGAGTTTGAGCAAGCTCCGGGAGTTGAAGCTGGCCAGGGAGGCCTGGCGTGCCGCAGTCCATGGGGTCGCAAAGAGTTGAATGTGACTGAGTGACTGCACTGAACTGAATTGAAGTGAACTGAGACTGTAGCCCACCAGGCTCCTCTGTCCATGGAATTCTCCAGGCAGGAACACTGGAGTGGGTTGCAATTTTTTTCTCCATGGAATCTTCCCCTCCCAGGGATTAAACCTGGGTCTCCTGCACTGCAGGCAGATTCTTTACCATCTGAATAACCAGGGAAGGCAGATGGTAAATGCATTTGTTGTTGTTGTTGTTCTGTCTCTGGCAAATGCTCTTGGCAAGTGCCAATTTGTAGTTGACATCAGCGAGGAATGAGGAAAAAGGTGCAGCCAAGGAGAGAGCTTTGGGTTGTCCACATGGCATAGAGGTTCTTACCAAATAAGACTAGGAGTTCAGAGTCTTCCATCACAACTCAGTCATGTTCTTTAAGGTCCTCAATGGCTTGAGAGCCAGAGGCAGCCTGTTGATCTTGAGGTTTTATATGAGATTGAAAGCAACAGTTAGAACTGGATGTGGAACAACAGACTGGATCCAAATAGGAAAAGGAGTATGGCAAAGCTGTATGCTGTCACCCTGCTTATTTAACTTATATGCAGACTACATCATGAGAAATGCTGGGCTGGAGGAAGCACAAGCTGGAATCAAGATTGCCATGAGAAATATCAATAACCTCAGATATGCAGATGACACCACCCTATGGCAGAAAGTGAAGAACTAAAGAGCCTCTTGATGAAAGTGAAAAAGGAGAGTGAAAAAGTTGGCTTAAAGCTCAACATTCAGAAAACTAAGATGTTCATGGGGTCGCAGAGTGGGACACAACTGAGCAACTGCCCTAAACTGAAATGGCAAATATTCCAAGGACTCGGAAAGAATGCCTAAAACTTGCCACAATAAAGGGCTTACATCTTCCTTTAGTGATGGCTTTGGCACTCAACCCTGTTCTACCCTGTTCAGAGTACCGCACTCTAGCTTCTGAGTCCAACTGCAATTAAAATTCTTTGTGATACAAACCTCTCTTTGCCTTTAAAAGCTCCTGACGTTTATTCCCTAGCAGGACACCGTTAGTGTGGCTATTTGTATATGTGTTCGAAATTGTAACTCTTTGATCCTATGTAAACGTGTCGGGCAAGATTGTTGCCTCTGGGGTTTATTTAGGTCCACAGGACCAACGACAGACTTTATTATCTGACTATATGCTTTTTGTTAGCCAATAATTAAAAACACTGAGATATTTTGTTGCATATAATTACCTTTAAAATTTTTTCCTCCAAATCATACTGACTAGATTTTACTTACTTGAAAATTTCTAAAAGATTTGCATAAAAATAACAGCTGAAGACTGTGGCTATTCTCAGTCTTTTCACGAGGGAAACGCTTGTTTGCTAAACCTGTATTAACTTTTAGCTGAGAAATGGTAGTTAAATCAGAATTTTGTAAAGATTATACCTAAAGGCTTTCTTGGGTCTACTTTTTAATCTGTACATCTGTCAGAACACGGTAAGGCGAGACCCCGGGGCTTTGTAACGCAAACCAGAACCGAGGGAACTACACTACCCAGAAGACCATGCGCCGGTCTGCCTTGTTCTCCGCACCAATGAAGCCCCCAAACTCTGGCTCTTCCTGGATTATGAAATAGGAGGGGGTGGGATTTCCGGCGCCTTTTTGATGGCGGTCGTTTGACGGCTTTTGCTGCAGACTGCAGAACCTGAGACTCTAAATAACTCGGTGCAGCCGGCCTTAGAGAAACTGGGAAGAACCCAAGGGGCGCCGTCCACAGTGCACAGGAGTGAGCGGACTTCAGGACACTTCCAGGATTTTCGGCCCAGGTCTCCGCCATTATCTCGCGCTTCTGCTGGCACCACTGCGCCCACAGGGTCCTATGGCAACCGACGCGCTGCAGGGCCCGCCCCAGGTGACAGTTCCGTCCCCAGATCCTCAAGCCCCCGTGAGGGTCTCCTGCTCACGGCGCCGCGGCTTAGGCCCGTCTGCAGAAGTTTAGGCGTGCGTGTGTGGCGGTCCCCTTTCTGACACGCTGTGTGCTGAAGTGTGGCGCGTTAAAGGCCGTGGGCCCGGCACGTGCCGATCCTTGGAGGCGCACACGAGCCAGAGCGTTAGGGAAACTTGGGATTGGAGTCCTCTCTGCAGAGACAGGGCATATGAAGAGGAGTCAATCGTCTGGGTCAGCTGGGCCGAGAGCATTCTGGGAGGCATGAAGGGTTGCGAATAAATTAGGAATTCGCTTGAGTTTCAAAGTATTTCAAAGCCAGCTCCGAGGAGTACAGACTGGGGAGGAGGAGATGAGGGTGGAGGCGGGGAGACCTGGGGGAGGCTTCTGAGTTAGAATCCGAAGAGTAAGGTGTTTTCTGGACGAGAGTGATGGGCATGGCAGTTGCTGACCTGAAACAAGTAGCCTGCCCTGTATTTCGCACACAAAAATGGGCTTCAAAATAATTTTTTTTCAGGATCTTTCGGGAAATTTCAATTGGGCTGTGTCACTATGGGGGAGTTAACACTTTTATAGAGATTACAAAGGGAAGTAAAAACGGCTCTAGTCACCAAAAAGCCCATGGCTTTTCATTGTCTGAGTCCTTTCCAGGAAAAAGGAGACTCTTCTTCCTTTGGAATACCATTCTTGTCTCAGGTCAGTGAGGGCTCCCTCTTCTGGTCTGCCAACTCTAATTGAGGTTTCTGTTAAATAATTTTTTTTTCCCAAAGGAATGTAACAGATAATATTCCTAATAAGTCTTACAGGTAATTGGCATGATTTCCTGGTGAAGTAAATGTGGCTCTGAGCTAAAGACAGAGTAAAGGACAATAAAGGTTTTCTTTATGACCTGAGACCACACTGATGTGAGAAGTCAGTTTTAGGGAGAGAAGAAAAGTTGGATTTGAGACATGTTGTTTCTGAGATTCAAAACTGAGGTAATGTAGGGGCTTGCTAGAATCTATAGTCTGGAATTGAGGGAGGAGGTCACTGACTCAAGGACGTCCTTGTGGTGACACCTAAATCTGGATCTCAAATTTAGGTGGGAAAATTTTTTCACTTTTCTGTGAAAGGGGACCTGAGATGAAAGAAGAGGTGGGGCTGGAGGGCAGAGTGGGTGGGACTTTGAGATGCTGCCTGAAAATGGGAGTGTCCTGAGGCTCCAGGGGCTTTATAAGAAAGCAAGGGTATAAGGAGTAAAGAGCTTTGCCTGGGAAGGAGGTGGAGAAGGAGGGGTGAGGTTGTGTACATTAACTGATGAATACTCCGCCAGCTGACTGTCTGTTCCTTTTGGAGCCACAAAAATTGGGCGATGCTGACCAGTCAGTCTTAAGTTCAGTGAAAGGGCACAGGTGCCTCAGCTCTTCCAGGAAACTACAGGTTAAAAACGTATAGACTGAACAACAAAGGTCCATCTAGTCAAGGGTATGGTTTTTCCAGTGGTCATGTATGGATGTGAGAGTTGGACTATAAAGAAAGCTGAGCCCCCCAAAATGGATGCTTTTGAACTGTGGTGTTGGGGAAGACTCTTGAGAGTCCCTTGAACTGCAAGGAGATCCAACCAGTCCATCCTAAAGGAGATCAGTCCTGGGTGTTCATGCCAGGAAATAAGGAGAATAGAAGGTTAAATTCTCAGCCCCATGTGGAAGTTCCCAAGAATCAGAGGGGAGCTGAAGATTATGTATAAAAATTGCTGAGGAATGAAATTCAAGGAGCCTCAAGATCGCTGAACACTGTGAAACAATGGAAGTCTTGGGAGGGTGGCTTGTACTGAAAGGGCCTGAAACTCCCTGCTGCCCTCCACTTCCACTACCTAGACCTAGATATCCCTTCCATTGAGCTGTTCTAAGTTGTATCCATTACAGTAAGCCAGCAGTAAGAAAAGTGTTTTCCTAACGTTCATGGGTTATTTTATCAAATTCTCAATACTGACAGGTTCAGGGAAATCCCTGAATTTGTAGCCAGTGGGACAGAAGTACTGGTAGCCTGGGGACCAGGGATTGGAACTGGCTTCTCAGAAGAGGGCAGTTTATGGGACTGAGCTCTTAAACCTATGGTCATGAACTTCAGGGAATATAATAATAAGGAGTGAATTGTCATGAAATCAAATAATTGGTAGTGGAAAAGAGATACTTTGTCTCAGAAAGCCTTGAAAGACATGTAAGGAAATCCTGATTTTAAAAAAAAAACATTTATAGAAATCTTAATCCTGTTTTATGTCATTGTGAATCTTGGGAGAGGTTAATAATGCATTTGATGTTTACACAACATTAGGAGATAGACATCTTAAGTGTTACCCTTTTACACCTGGGCTTTCCTGGTGACTCAGAGGGTAAAAAGCCTCTGCCTGCAATGCAGAAGACCCGGATTTGATCCCTGGGTTGGGAAGATCCCCTGGAAAAGGAAATGGCAACCCACTCTAGTACTCTTGCCTGGAAAATCCCATGGATGGAGAAGCCTGGTAGTCCGTGGGGTTGCAAAGAGTTGGACACAACAGAGCGACTTCACTTCACTTAACTTTTACACCTGAAGACACTGAGACTCAAGGAGGTTGAGTCTTTATCAAAGGCTATCTGAGTTGTCAGGTTATAGCTCTGAGGTCAGAGGTCAGCCTGAGGTGACTCATCTTCAGGAAAGGACACAGCTCCACCTTTCCATCCTCACCAAGATAACCTTGATCTCAGATCCTCCCTCTTTTCACAGGTTCCCATGGTAGCAGCAACCTTTATGGTCCCTGGACAGGTAAGTGGAGGAAGCCCCAGTACCTGTCCCGATGTCATCCCACCCCTAGTATTGACACACAGATACAAGAGACACAGTTATCCTGGGCTTGTTGGGCTTTAGTTCTAGCCCTGGGGTCACCTCAGGTGCAGGACCTGTGAAGTGGTACTGAGGTGGTCTCATGTGTCCAGTGGAGAAGATGAGGTGGTGAGATGTTCCTGGGACTGGAGCCAGCCTGTCCGTGTGCCTGGAGGTGAGACCAAGTGGGGTGTGTCCAGGACACTGCAGGACCCAGGACGTGGGTGGATAGACAGCACAGCCTTTCCTGGGGTGGGGGCCTGAGGAGCTGGATGCTTTTCTGCTGTGCAGGGCCAGGGCCAGTCGTCTGACATGACACCACGACGTTTGCCTTTAGGTGAGGGTAGGGACACTGTGTCTGAGACGGGAAGTGAGAAGTAGGAGTGATGGGACTCCCTTGGTGGTCCAGGGGCTAAGGCTCTGTGCTCCCCATGTAGGGGGCCCAGGGTTCGATCCCTGGTCAGGGAACTAGATCCCACATGCCACAAATAAGAGCTGGTGCAGCCAAAAAAAGTAGGAGTGATGAGCAGGAGGACTGTCCAGAATTACGTATCCTCGTGCTGAGTCTGAGATGTGGCAGGGGTGTCTCACCGGAGGTGTCAGGTGTACAACTAGACACCCATCTGAAGATCAGGTGGGGGCAGGGTCCCGGTGTGAAGATACTCCTGAGCAGGTGGACAGCAGGTGGACCATGTCAGATTCCAGGCCCTCAGGTCACGGTGTTGTGCCATGAAGGCTGGAGGCTGGGGAGGGTGTTTTAGTTACAGAGGCCGCTGTGAACTCATGTGTCCCCTCCTGACAGGGCCATGTGACCTTTGAGGACGTGGCGGTGTCCTTCTCCCAGGAGGAGTGGGGGCTCCTCGGCGAGGCTCAGAGACTGCTGTACTATGACGTCATGCTGGAGAACCTGTCCCTGATAGCCTCCCTGGGTAAGAACTGCGTCCGCACACACCGCCTGTGCTGGGCTCGGCCCTTCTCTCTGCATGGCTCACTGCAGCCTTCCCAGCCTGGGTCATGGACACTGCTTCCTTCCCTGGCTTCCGGGCATTTGAGCTTTGTGCCCCCACCCATGCATGTCTAGTCCTGTGTCACATGCCCTGATGCCTTTCACAGAAGTGTTTGGTCTCGGAGGCTTGTTAACTGTCTGTCCAGTTTGCTTAGGACTTCCAGTTTGCTTTGCCATTGCTTGTGTGTTGACTCTTCTGCTGGGTGGAAGATCTGTGTCACAGATTTTAACCCTTTTTGTGTGCACTGCCTGTCTCAGGAATTAGAGACATGTGGTCAGCATTTATGGTCAACACTAGGTTATTTTTGGAAGACTACCTAAGGTTCTTCTAGTACTATGTATTTTTTTTTCTGAAGTCTGTCATTGGTTGATTGACCCTGGGCCAGTGTCTTTCTCATAGTGGCCCCATTTTCCCCTCAGGCCTTTGATCTAGTAAGTTCCACAGTCACCCAACCTGACCTGGGGGTGGAGGTGGCCCTGGGTGCCTGACGAGGTAGACACTTCTCTAGTCATTGGAAGAGGGTTGCTGGATCCTGGGCCTGGTGAGCAGGGGCTGTAGGAACGCACATCATAGGTCATTTCTAATCCTACAGGGAAATGTCCTTTGCTCACTAGTGTTTTAGTGCCCAGATTCATCATGGTCATACTCTTCTTTCTTTTCCTCCCTGTTTTGACACTTGGTCCACTTTTTCTTTCGCTGTGACTTCTCACCTCTTTCTGTCTTCTACCTAAGTGTCCTCCACATCTCCCCTTTCCCTCTCTTTGAAACCTTCTCCAATATTATTTGTTTAGTATATCGTATATGTTTATGTTTAATGTATTTTTAGAGGTGTATGTTTACTTGTATGGTATTTGAACACCAGGCAAACAGGTGTAATTGCATTTTCCTGGATTAGGACACACGCTCTACAGAGCTGACACTTGTCTCCACCAGAAAACCCTGGTGACTGCCACTGGCCAAGGACTGAGTTGTTCCAGGGTCTCTTCCTGGCGCAGCTCCATATCCTATGTTCTCCTTAGTTTGAATCATTTCTATTTTTGTGACCACCAGGGACCAAGAAATGCATCGTATCCCCTTCTACCACTTGACCCTTCCTCCCTTGTTTTGAACACAAACCCATGTGCTCATTCCGACATATGTACTTCCCCACCAGAGTCTCCATACACTTTATCAGCATTTTTTATGGTTTTAGGGTGTTGGCGTGGAGGAGATACCAAAGAGGCCAGTTCTGAACAATGTGTTTCTGCAGAACAAGTGACACGAGACAGGAATCCACAGGTGGACCCATGTATCCTGAAGGCTGTCACTTCCACTGACATGTGTGCCCTGATGGAGAAAACCCTGCCCTCTTCTGTGGTTTCTGGGAGAATGCTCACTTCTCACTTGCAGCAGCACCAGACACAGCTCAGTGGAGAGAAACGTCTCAGGAGGGATGAGAACGGGGCCTTGCTCGTGACAAGCTGCAAGATCTTTGTACCTGACACTGTGTTCACATGTGGAGAGGTTGAGGAGGATTTCCTCGGTAGCCTGGGCTTTCTCCAGCGCCAGCCCCCCCACGATGGAGAGCATCCACACAGAAGCAGGCAGAGCAGAGGGGGCTCTCACCCTGGGCAAGGGCATTACAAGTGCAGCGAATGTGGCAAAGCCTTCAGTAAGAAGTACAAATTCACAGAGCACCTGAGAGTTCACACTGGAGAAAAACCATACAAGTGCAATGACTGCGGGAAATTCTTTAGACTCCGAGGGGGTCTCTCTCATCATCAGAGAGTTCACACAGGAGAAAAGCCTTTCGATTGCAGTAAATGTGGGAAAGTCTTCATCTACAAATGTAAGCTTGTTCAGCACCAAAGAGTCCACACTGGAGAAAGACCCTATGAGTGTCAGGAATGTGGGAAAGCATATGCCCGCAAGGATTCACTTGTCCAGCACCAAAAAGTCCACACTGGAGAGAAACCTCATAAGTGCAGTGAATGTGGAAAGCTCTTCTTGTACAGAAATAAACTCCTTGTGCACCAGAGAATCCACACTGGAGAAAAGCCTTTTAAGTGCACCGAATGTGGGAAATCCTTTAGTTACAAAACAAGTCTTATTATCCACCAGAGAACTCACACTGGAGAAAGGCCTTATATGTGTGGTGAGTGTGGGAAAGCCTATGTCAACAAAAAGAGTCTTATTGTCCACCAGAGAATCCACAGTGGAGAAAAAGTTTATGCCTGTAAGAAATGTGGTAATTTGTTTGTGAGCAGCTTTGCCCTCAACAAACACCAGAATGTTCACACCTCACAGAGGCATTATGAGTGCAGTGAATGTGGGAAAGGGTTCAAGAGGAAAATCACACTCGATGAGCACCAGAGAATCCACACTGGAGAAAGACCCTATGTGTGCAATGAATGTGGGAAAGCCTTCAAGCTGAAGAACACACTAATTAGCCACCAAAACGTCCACACTAGAGCAAAGCCTTTCCAGTGCAGTGAATGTGGGAAGCCCTACAGTAACAAAACAAGTCTTATTGTCCATCAGAGGATCCACACTGGAGTGAAGCCTTTTCAGTGCAATGAGTGTGGGAAGCCTTACAGTTACAAAACAAGTCTAATTGTCCACCAGAGAACCCACAGTGGAGAAAGGCCTTATGCGTGTAGTTCTTTGTACACAGCTCCAAGGTCATGATCTAATGTGTGTGTGTGTGTGTGTGTGTGTGTGTGTGTGTGTGTGTGTGTGTGTGTGCGCGCGTGCGTGCTCAGTCGCTCTATCATGTCCAAGTCTTTGCAACCTTCTGAACTATAGCCTGCTAGGCTCCTCTGTCCATGGGACTCTCCAGTCAAGACTGTTGGGTTGGGTTGGGTTGCCATTTCCTCCTCCACGGGATCTTCCCGCCCGAGGGATCAAACCCACGTCTCTCGCATTGGCAAGTGGACCCTTGACCGCTGTGCCGCCAATGTTCACCCTGGAGAAATGCCTTCTGGACTCACGCTTTCCTTCACTTGAGTTCATATCTAGTAGTGCAACTCCTTGTCATAGAGTGAGTGAATGTTAAACTCATGGAGGGCCAGTCCAACTCTTCCCAAAAGTGGTGGTGTCCTTTTATAGTCTCATCAGAAGCACCACAAGCCAAGTTCCTGTTCTTTACATTCTTACTTGGTATGTTCAGGCTTTCCAATTTTAGTGACACCATAGTTGTATAGTGGGCCCAAGTGATTTTAATTTGCATTTCTCTAATGATACGATGCCGAGTGGTCTTCCCTGTGTTAATTTCCAACCACATATCATTCTTGAAATTTCTGTTCATATAACTTGTTCTAATTACTGAGTCTTGACGTTTTGTCATTGCTTACTGATTAAGGTACTCTAATGGAAATACTTAGCAATACAATCTTCCAGATTTGGTTTAGTCTTTTCAATCACTTAATCCAGAGAAAAAGTTTTTAATTTTATTGTAGTCTAATTTGTTCATTTATTCTCTTTACTTTTTCCCTTGCTTCCTCCTGTAACTTTTATGGTTTGAGGTTTTTACTGATGTAAGTGAATCATTTTCAGTTAATTGTGGAGTTTAATTTTTAAAATATGGACACCCAATTTCTGCCATAATAGTGATTTAAAGATCATACCTTTCCCCCTGAATTGCTTTAGTACTTCATTGAAGGTCAATCATTTATGTATGTTTATATTTGGAATTTCTATTCTGTTGCATTTATCTACTTTATTTATGCCAGTATTTTCATGTATTGACTAATTTGTTTTCATAATATGTCTTGAAATCAACATTGTGTACTCCTTTGACTTCCTTTTTTTTTTCTTCAAAGTCATCATAGCCGTTCTTGGATCTTTGCTTTTCATATGAAGTTTAGAATCCACCTTCTAGTTTATACAGTACAAAAATCCTACTAGGAGTTTGAGTGGGATTGCTTGATTTGTTTTTATTTTTTATTTTTGGCCATGTTGTGTGGCTTAAAGGATCTAGAGTCCCTCAACCCAGGCCATGAAAGTGAAAACACAAGAGTTCTAACCATTGGACCACCAGGACATTTCCTTAATTTTCAATTTAGGAAGAAATACTGAGTGTCCCATTCCATAAACATACATCTCCTTTATTTAGATCTTAATTTTTGTTAACATTGTTTTTAAGATTTCTTTTTATTGGTCTTGCATATGTGTTTTCTAAATCTGGTAATACTGTGAATGGGAATTAATTTTTTTTCCTTTGTGAATTGCTCAGTGCTAGTACACTGAGAGAGATCAAACTGCAGATAGAAGCAATCCTTCTTAATCATTTTAAAAATAACATCTACAAAAAGTTATTATAAATACTGTATTTTTGAACTGTTATTAAACTATTCCTTTTAGCATAAAAGAAGGACAGCTGCTCATTGTTCTCAATTCAGCATTATCCTGGAGTTCCAATTTCATTATAAGGCAAAATAATAAATATGAAGCAATTGGAAAGGAGGAAATAAACCATCTATATATACTAGGTCCTTAGTTTTCATCTTCACTAGTAGTCCAAATATGGACACTCAATTTAATGACTGAACTCATCATAAACTCCTTATTTTTTTTATCACCCATTTGCTGCCCTTCCTTAGGAACCATCACCTTCTATGACACCATGCAGCTTAAATAGAAGAACTGCTTATTGTATTTTTCTATCAAATACTAAGTTCCAGCAGGGAAATATGTATTTAAATGTTGTGCACTGACATATTCCATATTCCTAGAAACATGTCTGAAACTCCTGGGATATAAATGTCTTGAAATATAGAACAAAAGGAAAATACACACTTAACATTTATTTGCACAACTGTGGATATACCTTCTAATTCTCTTCACTCTGCTTTTTCCTTCAGTTTCCCTGCCCTCAGTGCTCTGAGTTATGGGAAGAAGTCATGTTTTGCAAAAAGTCTTTAAATCAATTAAAAAAAATCCCCAATAGGCATTTTCCTTCCCTCACTTATTAGAACTCAGGGTTTTTTTTCCCCCCATACATTCCAGTGGGATTTTGATTATTTAAAAAACCAGTTTCCCACCAATTTCTTCCACTCCTGACGGATATCTATCATATGAAGCACTTTGCGTAGCTCTTGGTAGCTACACAGCCCCAAACATTTTTCAGAGTTTGTCTCCACACCCTACACAGATAACTGTTGCTGCACTTACAGGTGATCACTTTGCCCGGGGCAGATGACATCATGGGGGGCCTAAACCTTCATCTCAGGCTTATATGTCCTCACTGCAGACGCACAGAGGTTGCGATGGCAGACCTTGTCCTGGGAGCAAATACCCATTTGGTAAGTATCTCTTCATTTCAGGTATCCCATTCTTAGAAAATGTTTATCTCAGGAAACCGAAGATTAACTGTTCTTTAAATTTTACTTACTGAGGTTAGGACAATAAAAAAGGAAACACCTTAGATAGATCATATCTATGGATACATATAGATACAGACAAGAGCAAACCCATAAAAACAGGAAAGGCATTTGCTGAGGAAACCAGAGGCAAATTGGCCCTCATCAATGTGCTTCAGGAGTGCCTGACACCTCCTCCCTCTCCTCTAGATAAGGTGACAGTGAAAATGTTAGTTGCTCAGTTGTGTCTAACTCTGCAACTCTATGGACTGTAGCCTGCCAGACTCCTCTCCTTGGGATTCTCCAGGCAACAATACTGGAGTGGGTTGTCATTCCCTTCTCCAGGGGATCTTCCCCATTCAGGGATCGAACCCAAGTCTCCTGAATTGTAGGCAGATTACTGAGTCATGAGGGAAGCCGTCAAGAAGAGGTAGGTTGTAAGTAATAAGATGAAGATGAGCTCCCAGTCTAGGTTGACACCTAGGTTCTGTGTGCACATGTGCTTAGTTGCTTTAGTCATGTCCAACTCTATGACCCCATGGGCGGTAGCTCACCAGGCTCCTCTGTCCATGGGATCCTCCAGGCAAGAATACAAGAGTGGGTTTCCATGCCTTCCTGCAGGGGATCTTCCCAACCAGGATCAAAGCCACGTCTCCTGCATCGCAGGCGGAGCCATCTGGGAAGTCCTAGGGTCTCTCCTAGGGTCTGTTGATTGGGGCATGTTATGTTACAGAGCCTTTGATGCTCTGTCTCTAAATTCCTATCCTTAGTGGAAGGCTGTTCATTGCATCTCAAGTACGTGGATGTTCTCTTTCTCAGTAATCAACACTCTACCCTCCTGGGGCCTCGGCTTCCATTCCTCACCTGTAAAAATGGATCCATTCTTCTATCATCTATCCATCATCTACTATTTATCTATCTTCTATTTATATCTCTCATCTACCTATATGCACGCATGCTCAGTTGCTCAGTCGTGTCCAATGCTTCTGCGACCCCATGGTCTGTAGCCCGCCAGGCTCCTTCTGTCCTTCAGATTCTCTAGGCAAGAATACCTAGGAGTGGGTAGCGATCTTCTTCTCCAGGGGATCTTCCCAACCCAGTGATTGAACCCTGGTCTCCTGCATTGGTAGGTGGATTCTTTACCACCGAACCACCTGGGAAACCCACTTAAATATCTATCACATATTTATCTCTATCATCCGCCTTACTCTGGTTTCATCTCAATGACATCCCATCTATAATTTTTTTAAACAGAAAAATTGGGGCCAGACATTTTAGAAGAATGGCATCACCCTACACTCAATGAGAAGGGAGCATTTAGTTTAGAACCTTTCTGTCTCCACAGAACCTGTATGATCAGAAGAGGTTGTCAGTCATTACTGCCAGTGACTCCCTGGAGGTCATTAAGAGTGGAGCAATCCATAACCTCAGCAATGTCACAGTTATCAGACTTAGGTTTATGCAAATGCCCTAATTTCCGCAGTAAATTCTACTGACATGTCTTTGTTATTTAACTTCATTTTGGGACGCTTCAAGATTCCTGGTTCTTTCCTTTGTGCCTTATTTTGCTTTGTTTTCTGCTTATGTAACATTTTCTTCACACTGGTTATATTTTCTACAACCTTAGGTAGTAGTATAAAAATCAGGTTTACTGTGAATATTTTGAACAGACCACTTGAGGATAAACTGAACAATGAGATTGATACACTGCAGTCTTCCCTCACCAAGTCCCCGGGAAGGAACACTGCTCAAAACTGGTGAGGATCCCTCCAGACAGAAATGACGACTTCACACAAATGTTCAGTAAGATCTGAGAATAGCCCCTGCTTAACAGTGCAGAGTGGACTTCTCCTGTATATTCCCTGTCACACGTCCTGACTGATGTCCAGTTGCCCATGGTCCCCGCTAGTGGGATGACTGCTTTCACCAGACAGGAGTCGTGTCCATACAGGTTCATATATGTTTATCAAGCTTGAGTTTTCTTCCATAAAATCATGAATAACTTGAGTTACATAATCTATCATGATTAGAATAATGAAAATACAGCTGCAAAATAATAAATGTAGATGTTACTTCTTTTAATCCAAAATCAAAGAGTATGACTTTCAGATTTGACTTAAAAAAACTGTTGACATAAAGCTGTTGATTCAAGGACTTCCCTGGTGGTGCAGTCTATCAGAATCCACCTGCCAGTGCAGGGGACACGGGTTTGATGCATAGTTTGGGAGGATTTCACATGTTGAGGAATAACACAACAACTAAGCCAGAGCTCTAGAGCCTGTGAGTTGCAACTACTGAGTCTGAGCGCTACAGCTACTGAAGCCCACATGCCCTAGAGCTCCTACTCTTCAAGAGAAGCCCAT